TGCTACTGTAGTCTCGTTGCTGTATGGATTCTCTTGAAATAGTCTGAGATATTCCTGTAGCTGGTTTCGTGGTTCTTTGTTTAGGCCTGGTAGGTAGCTTGTATGACAGCCTCTAGGGATTGAGAGCCTTGAAGATCGTTTCACAGCTTTTACAAAAAGATCATAGCCTTCTATAGATGGTTCTATATCAGAAATAGCTGCTTCCAAGTTCTGTGTAAATTTTGTCCAGTTAGCTTTATTGAAATTATATCTTCTGCGGAAAGGGACATTTTGTGGTCTTACAGTTGCATATGTTTGGCAGTTGAAATCCAGCTTACTAATGCCTTGAAAGATCTCTCCAGCTACTACAAAGATAACCACCTGAAACTTAACCCTGCCAAAACACAAGTATGTGCTTTCCATCTACGCAACCGTGAAGCCAACAGGAAATTGAAAGTCACCTGGGAAGGTGAAGAACTTGAATATTCTTTCCATCCTAAACATCTCAGTGTCACCTTAGATCGAACACTAGCACATAGGAAACACTGCTTGAACACCAAGCACAAAGTAGCTGCATACAATAGCATCCTGCAAAAACTTACTGACAGCACATGGGGTGCAGATCCAAAATTAGTAAGGACATCAGCCAAGGCCTTGTCTTACTCAACTGCTGAGTATGCCTGCCCTGTTTGGCATAGATCTGCCCATGCAAAGCAGGTGAACATAGCATTGAATGAAACATGCAGAATAATCACAGGGTGTCTTAAACCTACACTTGTTGATAAACTCTACAAGCTAGCTGGCATTGCCCGCCCTATGTGCGATGGGAAGTTGCTGCTAAATGTGAGAGAAATAAGGTTGAACACTGTGAAAGCCATCCACTACATGACTACCAGCCTCCTCCCAGTAGACTCAAATCAAGGAAAAGCTTTATGAGAATTACCACTCCTCTTGGCATCCCTCCAGCAACAGCAAGGGTATCCCTGTTGGCAGCTAAATCAGGAAATCCCAAATGGATGGCCCCTCGCAAGGGTCTTCCTTCAGGGGCAAACCAAGAATGGACAACCTAGAAGTTCCTGAATAGACTCAGAAGCAGAGTGGGCAGATCAAAAGACAACCTGGCAAAATGGCACTACCTAAACGAATCCCATACCTTGTGTGACTGTGGAGCAGAACAGACAACTCTGCATCTGTATGTTTGTCCATTGTGCCCTGCCTCATATACAGAGGAGGAATTGTTGAAGGCTACAGACAATGCCATTGCTATTGCCTGTTTTTCTTCAAAAGTCATTTAGCCGCCTGCACACCTTCTATTTTGATCTGTTTTATATTAATTTATGCAACGTTTTGATTCGAAATAAATCTATAATGGTTAGTTACCTGCTCTGAACATGAACAGAATTCACTTCCTTATCAATAAATGGATCCCATTTTAGCAAGGGACAAATGTCCCTTTTAAAATGGCAATGGAGGGAAGAACACCAAGTCTGGCATGAAGATATATTTAAATTTTATGCTGCATCCTGAAATCTATTTGTTTTATAACTGTTTCATGCTGATTTGGCACTAAATCTTGGAAAACCCTCATTTCCACCTTCCAAATATTGGAGAGACGAAAGGAGATGAATAAAGGAAAGAAGGGATAATAAAAAGAAATCGATACACTCTGACCTCTAAAATGTCCTACCTGCAAGTGTTATTATTAGAGCACCCCCAGATACCTCAATAAAAAAATAAGTGGAGTATTCACATATGGAAGCAAAAGGTTAGAAATATGATGGCTGCAAGGTGAACAGTATGAGTCATTGATATAGATCCGTATCCAAACCCAGAATACAATTATGTATCAGGACCCTAGAGTTTTTTTTTATAATGTTGCCTCCCAGCTGTAGGGCATCATAATTTCTATTCAAATAAGTATCTGCACTCAGAATCATAATAAAGATGTATGTATTATATTATGAATGCAGGGTGTTCTAAAACAATGGCTTTCATTGTTCCCCAAGGTTTAGCCGTGCTGCAATCAACTACTCAGTTGGGAGAAAGGAAAATTAACAGCCACGCTCAGGAAAAGCCTGTAAACTAGAATTAATTACATGGATGATACTGTTCAACAAGATGATGTTTATGTTTAAATGAGGTTAGGCTTATCTGGTTTAGGAGTGCACACTTATATGCATTTTAACTTGAAATTTATAATTTATCAAAGTTAAACTACAGTGAGTTCCCCATTACCTTGTTCTTGGTAGATTTGGCTTGGAAATTAGTAGAACTATTTCCAGAAAGATTAGAAATAAACCAGCATTTCTCAAGTCTGTCTGACCCTGAGATGAGAAAGGGTGAAGCAAGGTAAACCGATGCATGGAACTGCCAATATGTGTATTTAATATATGTATTTTGTGATGGTGTGTTTTAATATATGTATTTTATGGCAAATATTTTATGTTTTTTAACTGTGTTGTGCCAATTTTGAGCCGTGAGGAGAAGCACGTACCAAATAATAATAATAATAATAATAATAATAATAATAATAATAATTTGTCTGGATCTGAATTGAGATTGAAAGGAGGAGGAGAATAAAGATATAGTCTGGATTATATGGCAGTGTAGAAGGGGCCTCAGTTAACTCAGTAAGTGGAGAGGAGATGATGGAATCATGCTTGTCCCCATAGGCTAAAGGAAAAGCAAACTGTGATACCCATTCCTAGCTTGTCCATGTTTCCTCATGAATGATTTTTAGAATAATAAAGTAATAGAGTTGGAAGAGTCCACATGGGCCATCTAGGCCAACCCCTTGTCATGAAGAAAAAGTGCAAAGTACCCCTGACAGATGGCCATCCAGCCTCTGTTTAAAAGCTTCCAAGGAAGGAGCTTCCACCACACTCCAAGGCAGAGAGTTCCACTGCTGAACAGCTCTTACCGTTAGGAAGTTCTTCCTAATGTTCAGGTGTAATCTCCTCTCCTGTAATTTGAAACCATTGTGCCTAGTTTCCAGGAAAACATACCTGCTCCCTTTTCCTTATGACATCCTTTCACATATTTATACATGGCTATCATGTCTTCTCTCAACCTTCTCTTCTGCAGGCTAAACATGCATAGCTCTGTGAGCTGCTCTCCATAGGGCATGGTCACCAGACCTTTGATCATTTTAGTTGCCCTCCCTCGGACACGTTTCAGCTTGTCAATATCCCTTTTAAACCATTGTGCCCAGTATTGGACACAGGATTCCAGGTAAGGTCTAACCAAAGCAGAATAGAAAGGTCCAATGACTTCCCTCAATCTAGACACTATCCTCCTTTTAATGCAGCCCAAAATCCAATTGACTTTTTTAGCTGCTGCATCACACTGTTGGCTCATGTCCAACTTGTTGAAGCTTTCTTAGCCAAAGAGTACTGGTGCCTCACCAAACTACAACTCCAAGGACTCCATAGCATTGAGAGATAGCAATGAAACTTGGCACCAGTTAAAGTGGTGTCAAACTGTAATGATTTTATGGTATAGATCAGTTGTTCTCAACTTGTGGGTCCCCAGGTGTTTTGGCCTACAACTCCCAGAGACCCCAGCCAGTTTACCAGCTGTTAGGATTTCTGGGAGTTGAAGGCCAAAACATTCGGGGACCCACAGGTTGAGAACCACTGGTATGGATGAACCCCGTGAGATGCATGATGGAATTTTGGCAACGATCGGAATTATATTATGTACCCATACGCAACCAAAAAGAGTCAACTAAAGCTTTTAAGTAAACTCCACATTTGCAGGTTTCACACTTGCAGATCTGATTATTTGCAGAGTTAATATGTTTTCTCCAGGAATATCTAGCTCCTCCAGTGTGACTCTATGGTCAACTTTTACCATAGCATTACACTGCAGGACCTAGAAATTTCTAGAGAGAACACTTTTTCTATGCATTAGTAGAACCTCCAGTGTGATTCTATGAACAACCTCTGACAGAGCAACTCTAGGAGGAACTAGAGATTCTAGAGAGATATTCTCTCAGGTTAAACTTTTTTTTTAATTTATGGTTTTTCCACTTTTGTGGTGTCCTGAGTCTCTAACCTGAGCTAGTATGGAAGACTGCCTGTGATTTCAGTTTTAAGTGTCTATGAACCACACCAATTTAAACCCAGTAACATCTTGGAAAGTGAGAATATGATGTTTCTAGTATAGGTTTTCACTGACATAGTCCATTTCATCAGATGCTTAAACGTATGTCAGAAATTTCCCTTTTCCAGTTAGTCTCCCAAAAAGACTAATACTGCTATCACTTTGAGTTCAATTCCAGGGTGAGCAGAGGTCTCCCCCCAATAGTTCTTGTTTCAGCACAAGAGACAGGGTCTACTCCATCACCACCTGCCTAAAAGTATTAGTTTCCTGCTAAACAATTTCAATATGTCAATGAATATGCATGCCAAAAAATTGAGAAAGCCTGTATTCTTGCCAATCTGGATTACTTCTCTGGCATTCACTACTGTTCCAGTATGCAGTTCTCACTTACAGTGCAATTCTATGCATATTTAGTGAAATATCAATCTAGCTGATCAATCAAACTTCTTCCCAGAAGTGTGTGGGTAGGAACACAGCATGTCAATATGACATTTTGGGGCAAACGAGTCATCACCTCAAATGTTTACTGATTAGTTTGGGAAAGTATAAATTCCATATAATTTTACACATACTATTTTAACATAAACATTTGCATGTATTTTGGCTTTTTATGAATTGCCCTGACTCCTATTTTACCATATATAAACCTGAAAATTATTTTATACAATGTTTTTCTTTTAGGCAGCTATATCTGCATTTATCCACAGATATATTTTCCAAATTTAAAGATTTTTATTCAACATCATATATGACATAGTTTCTTTCTAGTATTCACCTTGACTTTTAGCCGTGGAACCTTTGGCATGAACATCTCATAAACCAGACAGTATACATTAACCTGCAGGATACAAGTTCTGAGATTACCACAGATGTTGCTTCTATAAAAAATGCTTTCCAAATATCAATTGCCTCATTACCTTATCCTTTTTTTGCTTTTCATCCTGATATATAGTCCAGTGCTCTCCATCATGGCTATAGGCAAGTTTATAGGAGCCCACAAACTGTACATGACCAAAATCTTTAGCTCCTTGAGTAATAATGCCTGTCACTTTTGTAGGAACAAGAAGATCAATCTAGAAATGAAAAACAAACATAATATTGCAAAGTTAAAATACAGTTGTTCAATTCATTTTGATGTTTTTAAAAGCACAGATTTAGTTGTCACAAAAGATCTGAGTCCAAAAAAAACAAAATGGACAATGAAAGCAATAAGGGAAATTAATTGGTATCTTTGGTTTATTGGATGAGTGCATTCCTATTTTTAATAATCAATCCAGTTAATTTTCCTCTAATATACATTTCAGTTGTCTTTGAGACAGCATCTAACGGGCCACAGGGATAAGTGGAAATACCATTTTGAGGTCTGTGATGAAGATCCAACCTCAGAAGTTACAGAAGAATCATAATGAAATGGGTCATTCCAATGCTAAGCATCAATTGAAATGTTAGGGGAAAAACATGCTCAGATTATCTCACTCTAGATAACAGTGGTCTGAAATCCTGCTTTGTCACTATAGCTACATCCCCCAATGCTACTTACTAATACACATCTTTCAAGCAGTGCAGCCCCCTACCTCAACATGGCCATTTCATTTCACTGGAGAGTAGGGACCACGACAGGTAACTGCAAATATTTCCCTGAAGATACTGATTGCATTTTGTCAAATTACAACAAAATTGCTGGACTCATCCCTGCCCATTTGCCTTTGAGGGGATTTTTTATTGTTATGTGATTGGGACAGTCCTTTACACAAGGAATGTAAAAATGAATTGTGATACTGTGAGTTTCACACCACCATCATTCATGAACAGGATGTTAGCCATTGATCACGCAACTTATTGTTTCTTATCTAATTCTCCTGTTACCATAAAATTAGAATTTTCTTTTGTTTTAACTTTTATTTATACATTACACTTACCCCTCCACATTTCCAGTTTTGATTTTTGCAGATTTGATTATTCATGATTAAAACTGTTCTCTAGGAAACTCTAGGTCCTTTAATGCAACTCTATGGTAAACTTTCTCTAGCCGTGCTGGAGGACATAGAGTTTTCTAGAATTGGGGATCTAGAATATCTCTTTTAGATCCCCAATCCAATTCCATAGTCTTCTTCCTGTAGGATTGACCATAGAACCATGACAAAACATTCCTAGAGAAGTAATATCTCTGGTGAAAACCCCCCCAGAAATGTCTTTATTTGCAGTTTTTTTCCACTTTCATGGGCGTCCTGTAATCCTAACACCAGCCAAAGTGGAATTCTGATTATATTCATTTTCTCTTGCAGTAGCTGAACATCTCTGTAGGCCAGGCCAGATGTTCAGTTAAGTGAAACAAAGATGCTGTAAACTTTATTGTAAAACAAAATAACACCATTTTGCTAGAACAAAGTTGCTTAGATAAAAAGGTCACGATAAAAGTTAATGTTATTGATTTCTATAGCTTTCAGTTAGAAAACTGTTGTTTGCTTTAATGAATTACTCATAGGTAACAAAGATATTGTTGCTACTTTAAGAAACTGAGGCATGCAGTATTTTTAGTTCTTTTTTTGTCCAGTCTTAAGCCAATATCTCGATCATATGTTTCAGTGTTCACAACTGGCAATTAAAGCTTAACTTGCAGCTTTTGTTTTGGCAAGATTCCCCAAGGCTTCTGCAGTTCTCAGTTTGGTTCAGCAGCCACTATGATCTCAAACCACTGCCATTATCTATCACTTTGGCCTCTGCTGCTTCCTGAGCACTACCTTGGAAACTTTTCCCTTCCCTGTTGGAGAAGAATACTACAGATACAATGGACTGCCCAAAAGACAAAAAATGACTATGCCATCAAAGAAACTCTCACTAAAAAGTTGAACAACAACAAAACAAAATACAACTAAACTGTGGCTGTCATGCTTTGGACATATGAGATAACATTACCTACTGGAAGCTACGAGTATAGTCAAGGTAGTGTGAAAAGTGGGTAATAATCACACTACAGGTGGATGGACTCAATCAAGAAAGTCATAACCCTGAGTTTACAAAACCTGAGTATGGAAGTTAATGAGCTTATCTTGAAGGTTTCTCATTTTTAGGGTTAACGTGAAATGAAGTTGAGTGGAAATAGCAACAAAACCTTTAACGGGATATGGATCCATATGTCTCTTTATCGGCTTTTTTATTAGCTGCTAAAATAATAAATGAAATAAATCTGGCTATATTGTGGTATGTTACAGCTATTATTTTAGTTGCAATTATTTGATCTTTTTTGCTTTGGAATTGAATCTCAACAGTGTGTTATCATCTTCAGATAGGTGTTGTTGTTGTTGTTGAAGGTCAGATCAAACCCTACATCTTTGATGAGCCCTTTATGACAATATCACTAGATTGTGGTTTCCTTCTTACAATAGCACCAAGAGAAAATAATGAGTAAGCATATTAGGCTGAATTTGGAGAACATCTAATCAACCTTATTGCGTGTAAGCCTGGGGACCATAAGGAAAAGGAATATAAACACAGACACACAGAGTATTTCATGAGGTTGCATATCACATAGGAAACTGCCTTCCATTTATTTATTTTTCTACATTATGTTTATATTTCTCTTCCTTTTCCCAAAGAGGTCGGCTGGCATACATGACTTTTTACCCCCAGTCCCACCCTCCGATCATTACCTTCACAACAATCCCATGAAGTTGGTGAGGCTAAGAATGAGTGAATGGCTCACCTAGGGCCTCATCATAAAGGCCAGGTGAAGTGTCCCACTTTGCTTAGCATCCAGTAGAAAAGAGAGGGGCAGTGGCATGAACCGGTTGCCCGCTGTGCAGTTCCCTCTCAGTAACACTTTCCGAATTACATGGGGAAAGAGTTACCCTCCTGGAAAGACCCCATGCTGGCTCCATTGGAGCCAGCACAACACAGGAAGCCTCTTGTGTTGGGGCAAAAGTGTCCAGTGACACTTCCACCCTGGTTGGGGGTGGGACTTCTGCCAGAAGTCACAAGACATCATGTGATGTCTGGCATGGGGCTCCATCCATTAGACGGGTTGAAAGCATCCTTGGACACTAAATTAATCCCATCTGATGAGGTCATTAGTGTAATTCATGGCTCAAGAGTCCTATAATCTTGATTTCTCAAATCCTAACCAAACTCTCTAACCACTGAGGTGCCTTCTACACTGCAATATAAAGTCCAGATTATCTGCTTCAAACTGGATAATATGGCAGCATAGACTCGTATAATCGAGTTCAAGGCAGATAATGCGGATTGTCTGATTTAATAATCTGGATTATATGGAAGTATAGAAGGGGCCTGAAGGCCCTTCCAGAGAGGCCAGAAATCCAAGGAGAATTGGGATTTTAAATTCCACTTTCTCTCGGAATGGAGGCCACACAGCTAGCCTAAACCCTGTGTAAATGTTACTTACATTGCCCTTAAGGATATCTTCCAAGATCAGCAGGGGTGGGCATCATGGGCACTGCCAGCCTCCCTCTCTTTTCCCCTCACAAGGCCTGAAGCCTCTCTCCCTTCCTCCTCCCTACCTTGTAATAGTCACTTTGGGTAGGAGAGGGATGGTTTCTCCTCCAAGGCCGCATTGGTTCTTCCAGGGAGGAGAAAGAGAGGCAAAGACTGCAAGCTTGCATGGAAGGCTTCATAATTTCAGAGGGAAATGGGAAGGGGAGCAGGGGGGTGTCCAGATTGGGGAAGGAGGGACAGAAGGAGAACATATGTGTTTCCATGCCTGCAGGGATGCAGAGGCATGGAAAGCTGCATTTTTCCTCAGGAAAAAATCAGTTTTAAAGGGGAGCTTTTAAACTTGTGTTTTCCAGCCTTTGACCTGATTCCTCTGCAATTTGACTAAACATTGTTCAACCAATCCCCCCCCCCTTAACCTGATTTAACCCACGTTCTAATGCATGTGTAGAAGATCCCTAAGTCATTCAACTAGTCCCTCTAGTCCAGTACTATCTACTATGATTAACTGTAACTCTCCAGGTTCTCTGAGAGACTTCTCTTCACTTGCTACTTTTAGTGGAGAGAGAGCAGGGATTAAACATGAAAAATTTGCATGCATATTATGTCTTCTAGCACAGAGACATTCCTTTCTTTGGATTACAATACCACTATCCATTAGATAATGCTTGGAACAAGCTCATGAAGATTTTGGACTTGTTCTTTTAAATAATAAAACATTTGCTATTAGGCTGTTTTTAATGTCTTTGGATCTGAGCGATAATAAAGCTTTATTACCTTTTTAATCCTTTGAATATTAAGATAATGTTTTCATGTTTTGAATTTAAATGTGAAGTACTCTGAATGCCATAGTTTCATAAATGTTACTTACATTGCCCTTAAGGATATCATCAGAAATACTTTTATTTTTGAAAACACAGACAAACATATATTTTCATAATATAAAGATATTAATAACAACCAAGAATATTATTTTCAGGACTGGGTTATAGCAAGGTTAAGATTGATTCGTATATATTTATTAATACTGGCAGAACAAATGTAATTGATATCTATAATTTGAGAAAGTATATAATTCCAAATCTGTGCTCATCATAATTTCTAGCCAAGGAATAGACCACGGCAGGAAACTCCATCTAAGGGGAGCTATGAAGATATTCTTTCAGTTTCAGCTAGACCCATAAAAGATCCATCAAATTACAAATCCATGAAAGCATCTGTAAGAATTTTTTTGTAAGAATTTGTAAGAATAAGAAATAGGAACTAGCTTTGGAAATGTGGGATGGGTTGACTGCTACTCCTTTTGTTCCATTCCTTAAGTTTTCTTCTGAGAATCACATACAAATGCCTCAACCTATTGCATTTTCCAAATTCTGTCCAATAGCTAGAATTTTACTTAAAACTATGGATGTCTAAGCCCCACTGTCTTCTTATTTATCTTTTTCTTTACACGTACTGTAAAAGAAATGCATCTTTCTGCAATGGAAAAACATCTTAAATTAAGGTGAAACAAGCACATTTTTATCATTGTTGTAGAAAGATTTTTCATGCCTACTTTTCATTTTAGCAAGTTTGGTTTATATTTAATTATGGTTACTGGGAAGATGTGAACACAACGATGGAC